CACAATGTTGTCTTGTGGTGTTACTATGTTATATGCGTTCTTCATACAAGGGAAGAAGAAAGAAGAACGTAAAAATCTGAGGCATGTGTTAACGTGTTTGTAGAGTTTAGATCCGGATACCATAATGCAGATTAATCTGTTTTTGCATGTGTTATAATAATAAATATCCGGATCCAAATTCTACATGTTTGAGTGTATGACATTTATCTGTTCATGTTTACAGCTTTTACTGACATTGATTATTCGTCATTAAGACTATCTCAATTAGTGGAAACTATTTCTAAAAAACCGATTCCACCTCACGTCAAAGCACTCACTTTAGAAATGTGTGTAAATGATCGTAATGACGAAGAAGTTGAGGTAAATCACTAATTTACTTTATTAAGTCTTTCATTTATATGTCAGTGTCTTAATTATTCTTTATATAGGTTCCGTACGTACGTCTTGTTATTCGAAAATGATGAGAAGTACAGGGTTTAGAATCAGGTTATAGTAAACCGGGGTCACCCGTGTTAAAACGGTTCAACCAAGTCAAAAATTTAAAACTCGGTCAAAACGGTTGAATATGTAATCTCTAAAAATCTGTTACTATTACGCAGACAACATAACAAAGTTTAACACATAATGTGAATAAACACCCTTTTTTTTTTTTACTAATTTATCTAAATGTTCAATTCCACTAATCTGAAAAAGTTACAAACTTTTTGGAAGCTACAATACGGACTATCTATTGCGAAAATTTTGTTAAAAATTTTTCTTTACATAAAACCATTATTACAGTCCGGGATTTTGCCAAATTAGGGGGCTTCTAGAGCGGGGGCAACTCATATTTCTTAATAATTTCTTGATTAACTTTAGGGTTAGGGTCATCTTATATTAGGGTTAGGGTAGGTTTTAGGTGGTTATTTATAAGCAAATCTGCCCCGCTTTAGAACTAGATCCGATCCGCCTGCGGATCCGTGAACGGACCGGGTTCGGACCCGTATTGAGATCCGCATGGTCCGGTTCAAAGTTATAAGCTACGTACGTAGCTTTTTTGGTTGGTCAAAATTGTCAGAAGTACTGGGCCAGTTCCAAGTTTGGATCCGATTCGTTCTTCGGACCGGATCCGGATCGTTAAAAATATCCGCTCGGTCCGATTCATGCCGCCACCAAAAAGTTGCATAAATACCGTACAGCGCTGCATACAGTACCCCAGGTATTTTACAAAAAAGCCGGTCTAGATTGAATAATACCCCCTAAATATCGAGAGATGGAAGGATAACACAAATAATCGTTACTGATCACTATATACTTTGTTATTAAACATATCAAACCAAATGAAAAGACCGCACTATTATTATGAAAACTGGACCACAAATCGCTTGTAAAAAAAAAGGGGGATACTATTTCAGGGGGGGTACTATATGCAGCGCTATACCTGTATACGGTAAATCTGTCTACCGCGTGCAGTCCCGTGATAACATGTGCTAAATTTCATTGGTTATTACTATATCCGATGTTATAGAACTCAACTAATAATAAACTCAGAAATTTAAATGAAGATATCTCTAATCAAATTCGATGAAAAAATTTTATTCGAATTCGTAGAATTCGTAGAATTCGAATAAAAAAAATTTCATCGAATTTGGTTAGGTACCCATCGAGATATCCTCGCTCAAAGTTTTAAAAGTCTTCACGTTTATCAAAGAAATACAAGCTGTGCCAAAATTCTTAAACTTTTTAGCGAAGCGAAGATATCTCGACAAGTACCTAACCAAATTCGATGAAAAATTTTTTATTCGAATTCTACGGTTCGTAAAAAAAATTTCATCGAATTTGGTTAGGTACTCATCGAGATATCTTCTCTCAAAGTTTAAAAGTCTTCACGTCTTCAAATAGGTTTTACCACAAAATCCCGACATCCCAAATCTTGACAGGCCATAATACTGGCATCACGTGATGTGATAATTAAAATTTTAAAGTCTGACAATGATTGTTAATGTGTTTATTAATCTTTAAATATTAATTGTCACATCGGGATTATGGTTTTCGAGATTTTGGATGTCGGGATTTTGTGGTAAAACCGTTTATCAAATACAAGCTGCGCCAAAATTCTTAAACTTTGAGTGAAGGTATCTCGAAGAGTATCTCGATGAAAGTTTTTTATTCGAATTCTATGGATTCGTAAGATTTGTATAAAAAAGTTTCATCGAATTTAGTTAAGTATTTATCAAGATATTTTTGCTCAAAGTTTCAAAGAAATACAAGCAGCATCAAAATTATTAAACTTTGAGTGAAGATATCTTAATGAGTATCTAACCAAATTTGATAAAATTTTTTTTATTCAAATTCTTTGGATTAGAATTTGAATAAAAAAAACTTCAAATTTGGTTAGATATTCATCAAGATATCTTTATTCAAAGTTTTAAAACAGTCTTCATATTTATTAAAAAAATAAGGGTAGCTGCGCAATATGTGATATTGCATAGGACCAGTACGATCATGTATAACATGTAAATTCAGACTATTCGAAAGTTATTGATAAAGGATTTAATACTTATTAAACAAACAAAAAGAAATATAATGTAATTATGGTATAGTAAATATTATATGCCTAAATATTATCTTTTAGGTAATGGTGTAGTACAAATTCTTTAAAGTTCATTCATTTTAGTGTTAAGTGACAGTGTCATTTATTATCTGATTTTTTTATTAGAGGCTTACCCCCCTTCCTCCTCTTACTATATATTTTGATCAGGTCTTTATATATAATTTTAAATTTTTACCCCCTTCCCCTCCTAAAAAATCATCTGATTTTTGTCACATCTCTTAGGATTAGTGTTCTGGGCTAGAGAAGAGTAGTTTGTATAGTAAAATTATCCAATGAAAACCTTTTTGTTAGGGTATCAAATGTGGTTTTTTTTACAGAATTATAAGCAAAACAAAAATTTTCCTGATCATATTATGTTGCAACTGATCTTGAAATTTAATTTATAGCTCAGATAATCTGCATCACAAACTTGGCATATATTCAAGAGATATAAAATCAGATGTAACAGAAAAATTCAAAATGAATGGCATGCTTCATCAAAAATCACTTTTTTTCAAAGAATTGTATATATAGCTACTCTTTGTATACTAATAAAAAAATTTTTTTGAGCAATTTTACTTTATATCTTTCTTTTTTTTTTTGGTGTTAAGGTGATTTTCTTTGGTTGGTTCTTTTTATTAAGTTATGGATCAAGCTTTACTATATGCTAAGCTCTTCTTGGTACCCATACAGTATACATATTTGGAGGATACATACTAGCCATATATATAACTTTTGGTTGTCTATTTAAGTAGTTTGTTTATTACTAAGTTCTACACTAGATGTAATACCTATAACCTAACTAGAGAATTACCTATTTAAACCCTCTGCGCCTATATAAGTTAACCATTTTATAACCAAATTGGGATAATCCTTTAAGAAACCACCTTAAGACTTTAAAGCAGACTTAATCAGTAAATCTTTTGTCCTTGAGATAAACTTGCTAGAGCTTTTCATACTCACAATCTGGCTAGCCTAGGCTTCAGTAACTTATGCTGAGTTCGAACACAAGTACTTGCGAGCCAAAACCGCTACTGTTACCTACTTCTGCCTTTATAAAGTTCACCCAAACCCTGATACATATATTACAGACTGTCTACAGTATCCCCAACTATCTCAAACTACCAATCCAGATAGCTCAGAAGGGCTATAACCTGCTTCTGGTCCCTATAGTTAAATCTTTTTTCTTTGGTTACTCTTCTGGCAGCCTGGTTGGTGGAGTGCCTTGTCAAATACTTCGGTCCTGTTCAGTTTTACCAGTTTCTCTGATGATGATTTTTTATGTAGTACCATTAAAGATTTGTATTACCTCTCTATTCAGGATTTGCCAAGTAAATACTGCACCACCGTATCAGCTCTGTAGCTTTCTGCAATCCAAAGATCATTTGTATAACTCATATATCACATAAAGGCCCCAAGATCTTCCAGTTCCAATGAATTGGTATAACCACAGTTATAGGGTCTCGAGTTTTCCTAGCCACGGTATTACTTACCGAATCTATTTTTCGAAATTCAATTTTCGTCTTTAGTGGGAATTGAACTTGTACTCAACCGCTTGGGGGTGTGACAACTTGACCACTTCACTAAGTTATCACACTCTTCTATATATTTACTAAACTTTAGTATTAATAAAAGTTTTGACTTTAATACTAAAATAAATGAACTTTAAAAAATTTTGACTACGTCAAAACCTAGTATATATTTAAGTAATGTTTTGATTTTGAAATCTGATTTGTAGCTCAAATAATCTGTATTACAAACCTGGTATACATATTGAAGAATTGTATAGATTACAAATGATGATAATATTAATTATAACAATCAAATTAAATTATTATAACCTCAGTGCTTATCTTAAATGACTATTATTTTATATAATTAGAAGACTTTAGAAATTATATAATTTTGAAGTAGGTGGGTGAGGTCTATACATACTAACAAAATTATTTTAGGTTTCAGAATACAAAATTAAAATTTAAAGACAAAATTGTTTTTGATCTATTTTATTTAAAAGATGAAATTTTTTGATACTTTTTTTGAAGAGATGA